AAAAAAAAATTGTGAAAAGTGTAAAAAAAAAAAAATGGGTAAAAAATAAAATAAAATAAGGGACAAATAAATGAATAGTATTTATTGCATTTTTTTAGCTGTGCTGGTTTTGTAAAACAAATACTACAAATCAAAACTGGGAAAAAAGTGTTTTTTTAACGTTTTTTTCCTCTTTTTTTATATTTTATTTGTCCTAAGTGAGGCGTTAGACACACATATGTGATATAAATATGTAGCCCTATCTGTCCTCTAAAAAACAATATATAATATGTGTGGGTGCACTTTGTAAGAAAGTATATTACTGACGTGGAAGAATCACACAGCAAAAATGTCAAAAGTGTGTCAGTCATTTACGAACAGAAACTAAAAACAAGCTCAGTCATGAAGGGGTTAATAAAGAAATATTGAGATGTAAAAAAAAAAAAGGGAGGTCCAGTCCATGGAATATCTGACCGCGAGGCTTAACAATACTCTAACAGCACACAAGGGAGTTTGGAGCGCATGGACCACCGAGGAAGACCACTTAGGGGATACACAAGTACAAGATAGACTACACATAGAAATAGATGAAGGCAGTAGTTAGCCCAGGAGTTCATAGCGACAAAGATACACCTTAATATTCCAGCTCTCCTTTGTACCTGTATCCAATGTACATATTTAATGTCATACAGTGTCTAATGTAATCCAATCTAACAGGGAAGATCTTCTTCTAGTTGTTTTACATTACATAGAGGCTGAAGAGAGTGGAACTCATGTGATAGCTATGCCAATCATATATGCCATCACAATGGTAAGGTTAGACAGTATCACATATGAATTACATGTTTGTGAACATGGATTTCCAGTATAAAAACAGATATTTTATACCTTTGTGTTCTACTTACTTTTTAATAGCAAAAACCGTAATGCCAACACGGACGTTTCTTTGATGAAACTGTGCATTCAGAATGTCAATGTTAAAACTGCCATCCCATATGATTGGGGCAAGCCAAGGTGTTACCATCAAGACATCTACCCTCCTAGGGAACACAGAAATAACATTGGAGTTTAGAACATATGAAAACATAACATTTCACAAACTTTCAAAGAACATTTCTAAGAACTCTGCGCTCACAAGATCTACAGACTGTTCCTCACAGTTACCTCTATGCCCCCCGATCCAGACATCTTCATCCGCAAACTTCTGCTTTCTGTGTAATACTCTTCTGCTGTCTAGAAGTAGATTTCAGCCACTTTGGTTGGTTCTCAGAAGATTCTTCACACCCGACAGTTACAAAGCAGCACACCAAGAACAGAAGAGGGCAAGAAACTGATAGTTAGGGATGGGCTGCATGTTCGAGTCGAACGTAAGTTCAACTTAAACATCGTCTGTTCGAGCGTTCGCCAAACGCAAGAACTTTGTGGGATGTTTGCGGTCTATTCGACTGCGCAACGTCCCACAAGGCAATATGTCCTCTGAAGCTCTAATCGATTAAAGGCTTGCACCTGACCACAGGTCAGGTGCAAGAATTTGCCCAATCAGGGCTCAGTACTCAGAGCCGTGATTGGGCAAAGTCATGATGACTTTGCCCAATTATGGTTTTATAGCTAAGTCCCAGCAGCACACTATATAAGGCTGCTCACACCGCAGCCCTACGTAGTGTGTTGCTGGAGTTCAAATTGTGAGAATCTATAGCAGAGTTCCATTATATGAGTTCCATTAGCAGAGTTCTGTATCACAGTTCTGTAGTATAGCAGTCAGTCATACTGGTCTATTATAGCAGTCGATCATAACAGTTGATTCTAACATTCGATTATTGCAGTCTATTGCAGTACACATCATGTCAGAAAGGCTAAAAACGACAGGCAGACGCTTCCATGCAGCAATAAGAGGGCAAGCAGCCTCTGTGTCCCCCAGGCCAAAGTCGTGGTCGTGGACGTAGTCAGGGCCGTCTTTAGCGCAGGGCAAAGAGGGCACTTGCCCCGGGCCTCCCCCCCCCCCACATGGTGCTCTATAATGTATTGCTGGGAATTTTATTCCTCTAAGCTGATGGAACATTGTGCTGTATATTATACATGGGAATACAAAGCCCAGCAATACATTATACACTGTATGTATTATGTACTATTGCTGGGATTTGTTGTACTGCTCTATAGCTGGTGGTATTATTCTGCAATGCTGTACAATGTATTGCTGAGATTTGTAGTCCTCTATACAGCACAATGCAGAATACCACCAGCTATAGAGGACTATAAATCTCAGCAATACATTGTACAGCAATAGTCCATTATAGCTGGCGGTATTCTGCGTTGCGCTGTATAAAGTACTATTGCTGGGATTTGTTGTACTGCTCTATAGCTGGTGGTATCATACTGCAATGCCATAACGTATTGTCCTATGCGATCTGCACGATCGCATCCTAAAGGTAGCTCCTCCCCCGGTCCCCGCCCGCATAGCATGACATGCCACGGGCTTCCCTGAGGGACGTGAGGCTGTGCGGACGGGTGCCTCACTCACGTCCAGGACATCCGGAAAGAGGCAGACTGGCACAAGGCGAGGACTGACTGAGGCAGGTAGGTGAGGAAAAAAAAAAGGAGAAATATAAAGGAGATATACAATTTGTATATCTCCCTGAAAAGCTTACTCCATTTCTGTTCTGTCCTTCATATATATGTGAATAACATGATTGATAGAATTACAATGCATGATAGTAGAAAGCCATGATTAGACATAATTAACATGATTAGATAATCAGACTTAACAGAGACATGATTGTTTGTAATTTGACATGATACAGCGTTTTTGAAGGTTTAACAGAGGAGGAGCCTAGTTTTCTCTCAACGTTTTGCGCTTAGGGGCGCTGTAATGGATGTGGTATATATTCTTCAGGAGAGGGAGGTTGTTCAGGTTAATTATGTCTAATCATGGCTTTCTACTATCATGCATTGTAATTCTATCAATCATGTTATTCACATATATTGAAGGACAGAACAGAAATGGAGTGAGATTTTCAGGGAGATATACAATCATGTTGTCATTTTTTTACATTTTTTTTTTCTTGGTAGGGGGCCCGAGAAAATGTTTGCCCAGGGTCCGATCAATATTAAAGACGGGCCTGGACATAGTACATCCTGTGCAGGCAGGGCATGCTTGTTCTTTCTATCTGGTGCTGGCTGTCTTATTCAGCAAAAACATACAGAAGAGTTGGTGGATTGGATAACCAATCCATCCTAATCCTCCTCATCCTCTGTCACCCAGGCTCATACTGGTTCTCAGTCCATTGCAGCTGCCAAAGCGGCCTATTCTGCCTCCTTGTCCACAGCTACTCCTGCCATAGCCTCACCATCTTGCATGGAGGAGTCAGCTGAATTGTTTCAACACACTGTCAGTGACATGCTGCTGGAGGATGCACAGCAACTCCAATGGTCTGATGTTGGCTCTGGGGTTGAGGAAGGAAGTAACATCAGCCTAGAGGGAGGGGGTGAAAATGATGCACAACAAACTGGCACTCATGTTCCCCCAGCCGCAGCATACTGCCAGGTGGGCTCCAGTGACGAGGGCAGATGGGGTGATGATGATGAGGTCACTGACTGACTGCCTGATCGAAGAGAGGAGGAAAGTTAGGAGGAGGCACAACCCCAATGAGGCACAATGTCCTCCAGGGGTAGCCGTATGATCAGCCAGCCCATTGAATCAGAAGGCAGAGCTGCACTGGTGCAGGTCATTGTTGTCTCTCGCAGCACACTTCCAGGAACTCAGCTGTCTGGGAGTTTTTCACCGCATGTGCACCAGACCACAGTAATGCTATTTGCAACCTGTGTCTCAAGAGGATCAAGCATGGCAAAAACATCAGCCGCTTGGGTATCACATGCTTGAAGAGACATCTGACCACCTGCCACGCATCCCGTTGGCAACAGCACCATAGAAAGGACAACACTTCTCCCCGCTCCTCATCTGTCTCTACCCCCCCTATACCTCATGCCATGTCCACAAGCTCCACTGACAGGGATGATGTTATAGCAATGAGTGTGCCAGGTCCTTCCGCCGAATCTGCTAGCAGCCCACCAGCGGCAGATGTTAGAAGTAAAATTTCGCTGAACCAGCTGCTGCAGTGGAAAAAAAAATACTGTCCCACCCATCCACATGCTCAGCGTCTAAATGCCAGCTTGACCACATTGCTTGGTATACAGCTGCTGCCTTTCCAACTTGTGGACTCTGCCCCCTTCCGTGAGTTTGCAGAATGTGCTGTACCACCGTGGCAGGTTCCCAAACGCCAATTCACGGAAAGCCATTCCAGCTCTGTACCAGCATGTGGAAGGCAATGTTTTGGCCTCATTGGACAAGACAGTCAGCAGCAAGGTCCACATTACCGCCAACACGTGGTCCAGAAAGCATGGACAGAGCCGTTATATTTCCCTCGCGGCACACTGGGTAACTCTGCTAGCAGCTGGGAGGGATCCAGGACTGGGCTCCGTGTTGGCGCTTGTTCAGCCACCATGCCTCCAAAAAGCTGCCGATATGAGGTCTGTCTGCTCTACCCCCTCCTCTCCGTCCTCCACGACGGCCTCTTCTGCAGATTTGTCCGGCTAACCAGCAGTTCACCGTAAGCATTCCAGGTGCTACACAATGGCTCAAGCAAAAAGATGCCATGCAGAGCTTGAGCTGGTTCGAATACGAAGCAAATTCTGGCCTGTTCGGCCCATCACTACTGAAGAGGTCTGGAGCAGGGGAAAGGAGGGAAGCGTAATGCACACCATTATACTCATGTCATCACCATTGTAGTCATATCACCACAAAATGGAAAACTTGCCACTGACCTGTCCTATTTCTTTAAAGTAGCTACCACTCCAAGCTTGCTCCTGTGATGGACTATGATCTCAATGCAGATTAGTAAACTAAACATGAGATTGTAGTCCATCACGGGAGATATCTTGGAGCGGTGGCTGCTTTACAACACACACCTCAGACCAGCACCAATGCATGGCAGACCTCAGACCAAAACCAATACATGGCCAGGGGCAGACCCAGAGTCTAGTCTCAGGAGGGGCACTGCCAGATATAAGGTGTCGCTTACAGAACTGTTAAGAGGCTGTAAACAGGCACCGCGTGGTTCACAGGAAAGATGCTGAGGTCCCTACCAAACGCGAGACCTCAGACAGCCGCTTCAGTTTAAGAATTTAAAGTGCCGGTATTGGTGCTTAGTATCAGGGCATTTGCATGAGTATTCGTGACAATGCCTAATATTGGCACCAATACTTGTATTGGTGCATCCTTACTGTATAACGTATTGCTGGTATTTGTATTCCTCTATAACTGGTGGTATTCTGCGTTGCTGTATAATGACTATACAGCAATGCAGACTTCCAACAGCTGTACATGACTACAAATCCCAGCAATACATTTTACAGCAAATCAGCAATTTTGAATACCTCTGCCAACTTTAGAGGATACAAATTCCTGCAGAAAATAATACAGCAATGCAGAATGGCACCGGCTATAGAGAAAAACAAATCCCAGCAATAGTATATTATACAGCAATGCAGAATAATATGAAGCTACATACCCTGTTTTGCTCCGATTTGGTGGCCTGATGTCTCCAGGGTCTTTGGAGGGTTGTTTGGGGTCTGGGGGGCCATGCAGGCTCTCAGGTGGCTAATACAGGATCTCAGGTGGCCAGTGGGGCTCTCATGTGGCTAGTGCAGGCTCTCAAGTGGTCAATGGGGATTTCAGGTGGCCAGTGCGGGCTAATAGGTGGTCAGTAGGACTGTCATGTGGCCAGTGCAGGCTCTCCGGTGGTCAGTGCAGGTTCACAGGTAGTCCATAGGGCTCTTTGGTGGCCAGTGGGACTCTCAGGGGGCCAGTGCGGGCTCTGAGGTGGTCAGTGGGCTTCTGAGGTGGTCAGTGGGCTTCTAAAATGGTCAGTGGGGCTCCGAGGTGGCCAGTGGGGCTCTGAGGTGGCCAGTGGGGCTCTGAGGTGGCCAGTGGGGGCTCTGAGGTTGTCAGTGGTTGCTTCTGAGGCGGTCAGTGGGTTTCTGAGGCGGTCAGTGGGCTTTTGAGGTGGTCATTGGGGGCTCTGAGGTGGTCAGTGGGCTTCTGAGGAGGCCAGTGGGGGTCTCACCTAAGCCCCCCCAACTAGTAGCTGCCAGACTAACACCCCCCCTCCGCACTTCGCTCGGAGTGAAACTTTTCCCTGACAAGATCTGAAGTGCAGGCGATCCCTCCACCTGTCACCTCAGCTCTGCTTTATAGGAAGGGACTGTTCCCCGGCTCACTGAGAACAACCTTTACACCACACATTTTACATATCGCTGCGAATGTCAGAGTGAGCAATAATTCTAGGGTCATTAATCACTGATAACACTAAATTGATGAGTGTTAAAAGCTTTTAAAGCGTTGCCCATGGACAATTTTATGCATGTTAGTTTTTATTTTATTTTGCGGGCGCATGCAATTTTAAAGCTTGACATGTTTGGTGTCTATTTACCCGACATGACCCCGTATTTTATATTTTTTCCAAAATTTGGGTGCTGATAAATGTTTAATAACATAAAAGTAGAGAAAATCAGTTTTTTTCCATCAAAATTTTTGGTTCTTTTTTCATTATATAGTAAACAATAAAAACCCCAGTGGTGATTAAGTGCCACAAAAAGAAACTCTATCTGTCCCTAAAAAATGGTATAAAATTAATTTCAGTACAGCGTTGCATGACGGAAAAATTTGTCACTCAAAGTACTGCAGCGCTGAATACGAAAAAATGGCCTGGGCAGGAAGGGAGTTTAATACGCCGGTCAGCAAGTGGTTAAGATTTAACTGGCTTTATTTCTTAAAAGAATTATTGATTTTTTTAAAATTTGTCTTAATCATAAAACAATTACATAACAAAATTCCCTTTGGCACCAGTCATTTTTGAGACATCTTTTCAAAGATAAAAAACAAAGACAAAGAAATAATAAATGGAAAAAAAAGAAAGTATTAGGAGAAAAATAAATAAAGAGAAAAGAAAATAGAAATGGCATACGAGAGAGAGCTAGCCATAAAAAAAAAAAGTTCCTTAAATGTGGCCCGCCTAATAAGCCATGCTGTATAATGAAAAAAGCAAACTTACGGTGGTTTTAAGGTCTGTGGCTTGTCATACAACATTCTGCAAAGAAAAAATAAATCAGTTTAAGAGATCCTAAATTCTTTTCCAACCAACCAACAGAGCTTTGTTTAATTAAAACATAAATATGCAAATAGCATATATTAGTTATATATTGGTGTGCACACCACATGTGTTTTCCTGTATTGGTTGATCTGCAAGCATCACTGTAGGAGAACCCAATATACAACTGCCACTGGAGGGAGCAAAATAATAAGAAATAAATACATGAGACTTTTCAGGAAAAAAAATGTAATACTCCTAAACACAACACCAGTGTGTGTTTCTGTAAATATTGAAATATTGTTTTATCATTTAATTTTTATTAAGTTTTTCTTCAAACAGACAACATAAGAGAAACATATATAACAACAAATATAACACATATAAATAAGAAACAACCAAAACCAATTACAAAACCCTGCTAGCTTTGTTTACAGCAGCCTGGCACTGCAAACTACCTTACACAAAAAAAAAGAAACCCTACATACACCATCTGCACATATCGATAAAAAAGGTCAAATCACCTAGGCATATATAAACATTTACAACGCTGATGTAATTGAAAAAAATCATGTACCAGGGCACCACCGGCAGGACCAGTGGAGGATCCATGGGGAGAAAAGTACTTATAAACAAGCCGCCACAGCAGCGATCTCTTTTACAGCTCTTTCCCCTCTATGGTAGCTGAAGTGAGCAGAAGCTGCAGGTAGCCGAGGAGGAGAAAAGCCAGTGGTTCAGCGGCCTTTCTACTGCCCGCTTCAGTGTTCGGGCTCCTCTTCCGCCATCTGCAGCTTCCTCTGCCCACTTTAGGTGCTATTGGCTGGGCTTTGCATTACACTGCTGATCCCTTTTTTTTATTACTAAAATCTGTCTAATCTCTTTCCTTTTTGAATTGCAGTCAAGTAAAATGTTTAAATTACTGCATATGGAGTCAATACATTATTTAGCTGACTTTTTTCTTTCTGTGAAATGGGATGTAGGAACATCAAACCTGCCTTATCTCTCCCTGTTGCATTGCAGCCTAGCAAGACGGCTTACATGATGTGCAGTGTGCCTGTGCAATATTTTGGGCTGTTTTGGCTGTTGTCTCTGACATAATACACTCTGATTTTTATTTATTGATAACAACTGCCTTGTCTCTCCTTCTTACCTTGTAGCTCAATCCACCTGCATTCATACTCTCTAGCCATTGTGTGCAACTGTCTCTGAAATATGTAATTGCAGCTTTTATTTCAGCTTAACTGTCACATCTCTAAAATGTGGGGTTGTAATTTCTGAAGTGTTTTTGTGCACTTTGAGTTGACACGTTAATAAACTTTTAGACAATGCAGTGTCTTTTACATTTATGGTGTCTGGCCTATTACCATTAGAGAAAAGGTGTTGTAGCAAAAACTACATAGGAAAAAAGTTTTCAAGTTATAATGAACCAGATTAGGGTGCTGATAATTCATGTATATTGGTGGGCCGTACACGAATTCGAACTTTAGAACATCCAAAAAGTTTGAACTCGAACTTAATGCAAGTCTATGGGGGTAGAACTTTAAAAAACAATTGTCCCCTTTAAGAGGGCTTACATGCAAGTTATTGGCCATAAAAAGTGTATGGGGATCCGGGTACTGCCCTGGGGGACAGGAATCAATGAAAAAAAAAACGTTTAAAAAATACAGTTTTTAAAGGAGCAGTGATTTTAACATCACTTAAAGGGTAACAATAAAAATGAAAAATGTCTTTAAATATTGTGCATGGGGGTCCCCTTAACCTGCCTGTAAAGTGGCGGATTTGTACAATGTATAGAACCTGCTGCAGCAAAACTGACAAAGAACAACAAATTATTATAATTTTTTTTTAAAGCATGCAGTTCCCCCTCCCAAACACAACCAGATTCTTTAGGTCCAGTAGGAATGTTAAGAGGGACCACATTTTTTTTTTAAAAGCGCGGGGTTCCCCCTTAAAGTCATGCCAGACCCGTTAGGTCGGGTAGGAATATTGAAGAGGGACCCCATGTAAAAAAAAAAATGCACTGGGAGGGTGCTTTTCCAGGGGCGACCCTGGAAAAGCACCTTGTCCCCGTGCCGATGGGGATAAGGCCTCTTCCCTGCAATCCCTGGGGCGTTGGTTGTGGGGGTGTGGGCTTATTCACATCAGGGTACCCCCTTAATAAAGGGGCACCCAGATGCCGCCTCCCCCTTTGTGAATGAGGTGGTTGTGGGGGTCTGCGGGCAGGGGGGCTTATTTGCATCGGGGTACCCCTTTAATTAAGGGGGCACCCAGATGCCTTCCCTTGTGAATGAGTAAGTGGTATTTGTACCCCTACTCATTCACTAAAGGGTTAAAATTCAATGTAAATAAAGAAACCACACTTTTAGAAAATCCTTTAATTGAAAATGTTTTACTATTCCTTTAATTTAAAAAAAATGGCTCCATCAATGTATCCCGGCGTAAATTGCGATGCACGACGCCCACTGACCGGCTGGAATAAAAAAAAGTCCCACGGCAGGACGACCCGTCCGAACCCGACAAAAACTCGATGCAAAATGTCATTTCCTGCCTGAATATAAACAGATGGTCGGGCAAACCTTGACATCATGGGGCTCACTCCGCCCATTTGACATTCTCAGCTCTCAAATACCAGATAGCATTCGGGAGCTCCCGAATACTATTGGTGAGCTCCCGAATGCCAATCGGGTCTGTGAGCAGAGGTGTTACAAATTCAATATTATTCATATGACACCTCGGCTCACAGACCTGAATGGCATTCGGGAGCTCACGAATAGCATTCAGGAGCTCCCAAATGCTATGTGGTATTTGACAGCTGAGAATGTCAAATGGGCTGGACTTTTTTTATTTCGGCAGGGTCAGCAGGGGGTGTCGTGCATGGTGATTGCCGCTGGATTACATTGATGGAGCCATTTTTTTTTTAAATTAAAAGAATAGTCAAAAATGTACTCTTTGTTTTTTTTTCCCAATTAAAGGATTTTTTCTAAAAGTGTGGTTTCTTTATTTACATTTAATTTTAACCTTTTAGTGAATGAGAAGGGGTACAGGTACCCTGAGGAAGAGGCCCTTTTCCCCATTGGCATGGGGACACCGAGTGCACGTGGCCTGGTAAGGAGCAGGGAGGGGGCACCCGATCCCCCCCTCCTTTCCTGCCCTACTCGGCCTGTGCTTGGATCAAGGGTCTGGTAGGAATTTTAAGGGGGAACCCAACCGTTTTTACCATTTCTTGGGGTGGGGTTCCCCCTTAAAATTCCTACCAGACCTAAAGTGTCTGGTATCAATTGTGGGGGGGGGTGACCTCATGCTTTTTTTCCCCCCTCTTCTGCAGACTGTAAAAAAAGTCCGAAGTTTTCGGAAATTCGGATTAGTTTTCATTCGTAATTTGTGTCATTCGGAAAATTGGATACATCCGAATCTCCCAAATAATGAAAATTTGTCAGAATAACAAATATTTCCGAAAACAAACTGCCCATGTCTAGTATACCGTAATGACAAGGTTTTAGTGATGTTACAATGATGACTTGGTCTGTTGCATTACTGGGTCTGTGTAGAGAATGCAGATATATTATACCAACTGACAAAATTCATCCTCCCACCTTCTTAAACTGAACCAGCCTTTTATTCTTTGCACACCTTATTCCTCTTTTTTTCTCAGATTAGATTTCCCAGCAATGCGCTGCTGATGACAAGGCAATCCCAGTGTGCATTGCATTGGCAAACTGAAGTCATTTTGTCCTTTCAAAGCAGCAAGTGAGTGCTCTGCAAATGTAAGTATTTAAAAATCACAGCATTTTACATCCGACATGTCTATGTTATTATTAATCATGATACATAGAGGGGTGCAATGGTAGAATTTGATTTTTGAGTGTAAAGGTCCGCTTTAACCACTTGAAGTCCGCGGTGTTAAACCCCCTTCCTGGCCAGGCCATTTTTTTGTATTCAGCGCTGCAGTACTTTGACTGACATTTATTCCGTCATGCAACGTTGTACTGAAATTAATTTTATACCATTTTTTGGCACAGATAAAGCTTTCTTTTGGTGGTATTTAATCACCACTGGGGATTTCATTTTTTACTATATTAAGGAAAATTACAGAAATTTGTTTTTAAAAACTGTTTCCCCCTATATTAAATTCTAAAACATCATATAAGATGTACATTGTGATCCCCCCAAATGCCCGGATGTTACATATGATGTTATGCTGTTACTGTCTGCCCTTGGCCAATTAAGCGATTGGGGCTAGATGATATAGCTATACTCGCTAAGATTGTATATGTACATCCTCATTCTTCGGTTGTGTATGTGTTGTATGTTTACTGTAAAATGTTGGCTCAAAATAAAGAATAAAAAAAAAAAAAATTCTAAAACATTTATTATTACCCAATTTTTTGGTAAAATATAAAAGGCGGGGTCACGTCGGGTAAAAAGACACCAAACATGTCAAGCCTTAAAATTGGGCACGCGTGCGACACATCAGAAAATGACATTACCCAAAATTGGCCATAGGCGACGCCTTAAAAGCTTTTACCGCTCATCAGTTTAGTGTTATCAGTGATTGATGGCCCTAAAATGATTGCTCTAACTCCGACGTTTGCGGCGATATGTAACGTGTGTAGCGCAATTGTCATTTTCGCGCACTGGCGCATCTGACACATATTTACGTTTATATGTGCGTAAGCGTGGGGTTGGGTGACTTAAACATTTTGTTTTGTTTTTTTTACTTTTTTTATATGTGACTTTTATTTTTTGTTACTTTTTTTTTTTTACACTTTGTTATTGCTATCACATAGGGGTCTGACAGGTCCTGACAGGTCCTCTTTATGGAGACATTAGGGGTCTCTAGGACCCTAAAAGAAACTAAACCCTAAAAGAAGCTGATGAAGCACAGATCTGCTTCTTTTCTCTGGCTATTGCAGCCAGATGACTGACAGGTGAATGCGGAAGTGATGTATTACCAGGGGCGAATCTGCCGCGAGGCAAACAAGGCGTTTGCCTGGAGCGG